GCTATGCATGGACCTCGGCCACTCGTCTTGAGGGCTGAATAACAGGAACACTTCCCACTTTTCCGCTGGGTCAGAGGTCGAGGGGAAGTTGTACTTGTTTCATGATCCCAAATTCCATCATGTTTATTTTCTCAAAGTGGAATCGGGGGTCCGCTCTTGCCAGGGGAGATTGTGAAAGCGTAAAACAATACTTTCCCTTCTTCCTTTTTTATCTTTCCTGTGGACGTTTTGTTACTGAGGACAAAAACTCAGCAGAAACTGTGTGTGTGTGTGTTTCTGTACTGGGAAAGTGAAAAGAAACTCAACAGCTACATGTGAAATGTCAGAGTAGGATGATACAGGCTGTTCACTTGTACTGATTTACTGCAATAAAAGTAACAATCAAAGTTGTACTTAGTACAATGGGCAGTAAAATGTACTGCATGTGAAAGTGAAAGCACTGATGGTGAGAGGATTTAAGGAGGGAAGAAGGAAGGAAGGAAGCAGGTCATGAGAAAGGAAAGAAAGGAAAGACGTTAAAGTCTTGCACATGTTCTCTAAAACTGCATTTTGTTACTAAGCTGCAGAGTTTGAGTTGACATTATGAGGACATAAGACTTATTTCGCCTAAATCTTTCGAGTAAAATCTCCAACCTGCAAAGCAAAAAGTAACTGACAGCTGTTAGCCTAAACTAAATTACTCGAGTTAGGTATAAGTACCTCAAAACTGAACTTGGGAGAATAGTTTAGAAATACTTAGTCAGGGATAAATGTGACTTTTATGTAAGTGCCTTTTTGTTGTTGTTGCAGAGCTAGAGCTGGGAGCCAGTTAGCCTAGCTTAGCATAAGTACCAGCACTTCTCTAAAGCTCTCAGTTATAGTGGTTGTAGCTTGTTTTCTTCTGAACAGAAACAGTAAAGGTAAAAAATAAAATAAAATAAAATAAAAGCACAACTGCAGTGTTGCCTGGCAACTTCACCGTGACGACATGACTCGGGAATGTCACTGGTCCTGGTTGTTCACCAAGAACAGGTTAAAGCTGTTTGCAGTCTTGATGCTAAGCTAGGCTAATTGTCTCAGGGTTCAGCCATCCATATATACACACACACACACACACACACACACACACACACACACACACAGTAATAATATACAGTAAATGGAGTGAAAATAAAGTTGTGGGAAGATGGATAAACTGTTATAAACTGAAATAATTAAAACATGTAACGCCATATAAAAGAAATTGCCATTGTTAGCTCGGTGTATTATCGTCCACTTTGGACGGTCCAGCTGTTTTCCCCTGCCTCCAGTCTTTGTGCTAAGCTAGGCTAACCATGTCCTGACCCCAGCTCTGTACTTCACATACAAACATAAGAGTGGTATCGACCTTATTGATCTAATATTCGCTAAGAAAGCAAATAAACATATTTACCATCGAGTCACAGAGTAAACACCTACTCTGTTATTTCCCACTAATGCATTTTGACATGGGAAACCCTTCTTTTGTGTACTCCTATCACAAAACATGTTGCTAAAGCGTGTACACAAACAAGTTCTTCTCGTGGACTTTGGACTGGAATTTCTTTTTTTTCGGGGGGTGAATTTGGGGAATGAACCTCTCTTCCCCAGCTCAACCCAGCCTAAAGGCCACCCCACCAGTACAGGCCTATAAAAACATACCAGGCCTTCTGAAATAATAAAGCAGATAAAAACAGTCAGTCCCACTCAGATCATAGAAACTCTCCATGGACTTGGCTGCCAGAGGCTGTTGGAGCATGTTTGATACGAAGGGGAATTGACTTCCTCACTGATTCTGTTGTTAAATAAGCTTAGCTGTGTGTGTGTGTGTGTGTGTGTGTGTGTGTGTGTGTGTGTGTGTGTGTGTGTGTGTGTGTGTGTGTGTGTGTGTGTGTGTGTGTGTGTGTGTGTGTGTGTGTGTGTGTGTGTGTGTGTGTGTGTGTGTGTGTGTGTGTGTGTGTGTGTGTGTGTGTGTGTGTGTGTGTGTGTGTGTGTGTGTGTGTGTGTGTGTGTGTGTGTGTGTGTGTGTGAGTGGGTTCCAAAAAGCCATTGCCCAACTCCGTCCACTCACATCTCCAAGCCTAGCAGTGTGTAGCCACCAGAGACTTGTGTCAAACAAGCAGTCTCTTATCTAAATGTTATCCTTGCACCCTGCAGAATAAACAATGGTTGGGCCTTACTTCAAAGAGAAGCTGAGAGCACGCTTGACCTGCTGGAATAATGAACCCTGAGATGTGCAGAGCGAAGGGAAAGCTTCCTTTGCATGAAAATAAATTCTCTTTAATGAGGAAACTGCTTGTCATCAAAGATCATTAGTGGCACTTGTTCAGGAAATGGAACAAATTTTAGATTAGGCATTGCGGCCTGTGTGTGTGAGTGTGTTCCTCAGGCAGTGTGTAGTTACATAAACTAGTGGGCGACAGACTGATAGTTAGTTAGTTTTGATAAATTAAAACAAAGCAACCTTTTATGCAAGAGTCTGCACACTAACAGACAACTGTAAAACTTTCAGTACAACACACACAGACTGTGCAGATGTTGCTTATAGAAAATAATGGAGAGAGAGAGCACTCTTCACATACAGAGCAACATACACAAACACTGGATTCTGGGAGGGTTAAAGTGGTTAGGCTATAATCAATATTTTTATAGTATTAATGTATTAAATGTGATCATGTGAAAAGTTGCTTGGGGTGATTAACCTAGATAGAACCTAAATTTGAAGCGTCTCTCAGCTTTACGTAGCTTTTTTTTTTTTACAGTGAGTTTCAGCTCATTGTTCAGCTGTCCGGCCCGCAAATGTGCTGTTTTTTTGTCAAGCCGCTGTGAGAGCGATGAGTGAGAACCAATAACTCATGAACATAGGGGAGCATTTAGCAGCTAAAGAGCCAGGACATTTCCCTCAGGAGTTGGTAGAGACCAAAAACTGAGCCAAAAGAGAGTGAATATTGGACTCTCATTCATCAGGTAGACACACACAGCTCCAAATTAATTCTTATGTTGCTCTCTAACTGGTGGATGTGTAAATGAGTAACAGTTTGCTAATAAGTTTGCCATATCAACTTAAATAGAGATGATATCTCAGTGTTGTGTTCACAACTGCCCCCAAGTGGCCAAAATAATTATTGTTTTTGTTATCCTTTACATATTTACATAAAATGGAGTTAAAGAAAACATCTGTGCATTTGGGATGGCTACATTGTCTTGATCCCATTGTCAGTCATAACCATATACATAATAACTATGGCTACTGTACATGTGCAAGGAAGTTTTTTTGGTTTCTACCAGTTCTGAGCTCTTGCTTCCTTTCCACATTTCCATTTTTAAACTTCTTCTTTTGCCTGCGTTCACCACAGCAAATGTATTTAATAGTTAAGGTGTTGTATTCTTGTTTCTAGTAAAAAGCAGAAACAACAACACTGGCTTTGAATGTTCACAGCAGACAGGTTGCCACAGTGTGTATGACCTCAGACTTAATTCACACTCTTGACCAGTGGACTCCACATTTGTACACACCAAAATTACCGTCTATAGAACATGTTTTCATTTCTGTTTGTGTGTCTTTGTGTGGTTTAAGTTAGTTCTGCCTGACACATTCACATAAATACATCCATTACACGCTTTTACTAGCTTCAGCAGTTCAGTGAGGACTTCTTGAAAACAGGAAATTTGTTCTAGTTGTAGTCTAGAGGGTTCACGACATCAGCCCTGTAAATCGGACCATTGTCCCTGCTCAGGTTTATGTGCTTCAGCCGCCGCCTGAACTCTGAGTCTTTTGTTTGCTCTTGCAGAGAAACTGTTAAACCAAGCTTTCTGTCAGCGTACACATGGAAACGATAAATACATGCATTTTTTGTGGTGCACACCTTTCTATGTGAGAGTGTGTCCTCGTTCAATCCTCAGCTCCCAGGCCCTTCTCTGTGTGAGCGGTGCCCCCGCCGTCAAAGGTCATAGCTGTCCTGTCCCGCGTGTTTCCATGGCGACAGGTGGTCTCTCCGTAGAGAGTGACTGTGACCCGTTAGGTGAAGTTGTTGCCACTGAGCTCTACCGATGACAAATTCATATACTTGGCAGACTTGGGCCTTCTGACCGAAAGCCAAAAGATTAGTCCATCTGTGTGTTCTTAGCTGTTTCCTGAGCTGCACCTCATTGTGTTGCGGTTCAGTTGTCAACGTGCAGCTGAAGGGTCGAAGCTGCTCTCAGGATGGACCTTCAGCTCTTAGTACAGTGCGGCTCCCAAAGACTACAGTATTACTACTTCAGTGTCTCATTTTAAGTAACTCAAGTTTGGTTTTTTTTTGGTGTGGTTATGCTTGTTCTTTCGTGCTGTTTTCTTGTTGTTTTCCTATAATTATCTGCAGTATATTATTATATTTGTGGTCCTGCTTATTGCACTGATATCGGCCTATCTGCAAATAACATGGTATTCGCCAATATCGGTAGGCGATGTTTATCTTTTGTTATGCATGAATTAAGCACTGGCGAAATGTGCTGGTTGTTTTATTTATTTTTTGGGGGCTTTTTGGCTTTTTATTGGAGCATGCAGCAGCACAGACAGAGAGCAGCTGTTCACGTCTTGGATGAGAAGAGAAATAGACTGAGCATAAAAGGGTGAATAACAACAAAAAAACATCAGCAATAAGACAATCAGCAGCTCTTTTTTGCAGTACATCAATAAACTAACACATTTTTAATTTGGTGAAACAGGTTATTAGTGTCTGATGCAGATTTCTGTAGAATACGGTATTTGAATACATTTTCATTTGCTGTGCATCCCATAACTTACTCGAACAGTATTTAGTATCAATGTTTTGTAAGATTAAAAAAACAAACGTAGTGACTGTACAGCTTAGGTGGAGGTAATAATAATTTACTTTTCCATGTGTTCACCATTAGGGTTTGATCAGTTCACTGTATTAGTTTACTTTCACACTGTCTTTAGCAGTAGAGTGGATTTTGTGCTCATGATACAGAGGACAAATTGATGTCTCTCGTCCCTCCAGCGGCTCTGCCCTCGGCCATCCTGACGCTGATGTTCAGCCCGTACCAACGAGGAATCTACTGCGACGATAAGAGCATCAGCTATCCCTACAGGAGAGACACCATCTCTCACGGAGGCATGGCTGCCGTCACCATCATCTGCTCCATCGTCATTGTGAGTCCCAACATCCTCTTCGTCTGAGCAGTGTTGTTACACAGCAATGAAAATAAACCCTTTTCTCTCTTCTGTCCACTCCGCAGATCACCACAGGGGAGGCCTACCTTGTGCACACAAAGCGTCTGCACTCCAACTCCCAGTTCAACCAGTACCTGTCGGCCCTTTATAAGGTGGTGGGCACCTTCCTGTTCGGAGGAGCCGTCAGCCAATCACTGACCGACCTGGCGAAATTCACTATAGGTCGTCCCCGTCCAAACTTCTTAGCTGTGTGCGCTCCGGTCAGCTGTACAGGATACATGCTGCAGATCAACTGTACCGGCATCCCCCGCAATGTGACAGAATCCAGGTACTCAACTCTCTGCCTCTATTACTGTCTTATTACATCTTTATTATCAATAAAGTTTCACTCAGTGACTTAAACAGACGTACATAATATTTTGCTATATATTTATCATGTCGACATGCATATCTGTTTAACAGTTTTATCTTTAGACTGTAAAGATAGAGGTTGAGAACACGAGCTGGTGTCTTAAAGTAGCTTGGTTTGTCTAAAACAATTCTATAAACCACGTAAAAGCAGCAAATCTTCACATTTGAGGAGCTGGAACCAGGAAACGTTCTGTATTTTTGCTTAATTCATTAAAGGAGCTACATGGAACTTTTTTATTTTTATATTTTTCATTGATTCTGGTAGTGATTCCACCACCTCGTTTTGTCTGACAGCCATTAAGAATATCTATATATAAAAAGCCAATCTTCTTGCTGATAGTCTTGTTTGTCTATGTAGGTCATATAGAGGCATCAGTATTAAATTGGGACTGTTTCATAACCAGTTAAAAACGCCTTGTAGTACAAGGACATTATTTTTATTATTATTATTATTAATTATTGTTAAGTTGTTAAGTTAGTTTTTATTTTATGAACTTAATGTCACTGTCAACCGGCTTGGATATGATCTACATCAGAAAATTATTTTTATGTTCAGTAAGTTCATAAAATGTCAAAAACAATGACAAATGTTCATCACAAGTGATGTCTTAAAGTCAGTCAATACCCAAAAATCTTTTGGGTATTGTCTCTAGTGTCACATTTAAGAACAGGCCTCAATTATTCAATTGACCACCTAATGTTAATCATATTTAGTTTGTTCAGACTTTCTCAGTGTGGAAATAATTATTCTAAATGGTTATGCACGGGTGGGATCACAAAAAAACGCCCTGTTGGGATCAATTGGTTCCATCATAAATATATAATTATTTTAAAATATATTATATAGATCAAATTGCAGGTGGACAATAAACCGATAAGTGGGTCTCATTCTGAGCTTTACTCTTCGTCACGTCATTATCATATTTATTGAAAACCAATAAAAGAAGATCACTAACTTTTGTAAACGACCTGTGTTCTGTTGCTGTTTTTGCTCCTCAGATTGTCGTTCTACTCCGGCCACTCGTCCTTCGGGATGTACTGCATGCTCTTTCTGTCGGTGAGTGCGTGGCTGTCTTTATTGCGTGAGACTTTTGGCGTCTGTTTAGTAAAGACACTCAACAAGTGACTCAAAACAGGAGGGGGTGGTCAACACGGACGCAGAGCTGATGTTTGAAAACATCATTGTTGTAATACTACACACTGTACAATGGTCGGAAGATGACGGATTCGACAGTTTAATCCGTTAGTGTTCAGAAGTGAGATATTGAGAGTCAGTTGTATATACAGCACTGTTCTGTAGCTGAGCCTGACCTTTCTGTGGAGGCAGGTGGGCCAAAAGAACATTTGTCCTTCAGGAAACAGTCAAATATTTTCCATTAAGACACGACTGTATATTCTCATAACTCATCATTTGTATGAATTCCCACAAAAAACACTCCCTGTGGATGAATAACAGATGTCGTCTTTTTTC